CGGAGATGGTGGCACCAGAGTGGCCCTGTGGGGACACCCGGGACATCCGGAGATGGTGGCACCAGAGTGGCCTTGTGGGGACACCTGGAGATGGTGGCACCAAAGTGGCCTTGTGGGGACGCCCAGGGCACCCGGAGATGGCACCAAAGTGGCCTTGTGGGGACACCCGGGACACTCGGAGATGGTGGCACCAAAGTGGCCCTGTGGGGACGCCTGGAGATGGTGGCACCAGAGTGGCCCTGTGGGGACACCTGGGACATCCGGAGATGGTGGCACCAGAGTGGCCCTGTGGGGCTCAGCCTTGGCGTCCTCATCACGGCAAAGGAGACTCGGAATCATCTCGGACCCGGTTCTTCCATCCGCGCTTGTGAGGGTGATCTCATTTACACAGAACTTCTTAATAAGACCCCCCCAAGATTTGGGATGGGACCCCCAGAGGCTCCCCTAAAACTGGGAATGGGACCCCTAAAAATGTCCCCTACTACTGGGGAGGGAGCTCCCAGAAACCCCCAAAAGTCTCCCCAAAATTTGGGATAGGACCCACAGAGACCCCTTCCCAGTATCAGGGATCCCTAAAGTCTCCTCTAAAGTTTGTGTGGAAACCCCAGAGACCTGCAAAAAATTTCCCAGAGAAACTCTCTCATAATCTCCCCAAAACTGGGGATGGGAACACTAAAGTCTCCCCAGCATTGTGGGTCCCATTATTAAAATAATTAAAATGATGACGTTTGAGTCAAAATTCCCTTTGCTGAGGGGGCTGGGGATTTCCAGCAAGGAGAACTCTATAAATACATTTATTTTACATATCCACAATACATATTTATATCGATTTTATACATATTTATATATTTACATATACATAATTTTATTTTTTTTTCTGTAAGAAGAGCCCAGGTGATGCTTGGGGGTCTGGATCCAAGGGCAGCCCCATCCCTGAGGGAGATCCAGGAATGCATCTCCAGGTGTTCCCGGCTCTGTGTCCATCCCAGGTTGTTCCTGGGGTCCCCTAAAACCTCCCCTGCTCTGCTCTGGCACCGAGGTGACAACACCCGGCACACACCAAAACACCAAAATCGCGACCCCAAACCCAGGGCTGGGCAGAGTTGGGGTCAGTTTGAGAGGGGGTGGGGCTGTCACACACCCAGAGCCCATCCCAGGACTTCCTGGGCAAGGGGGGATATCGGGGAGGGGTTCGGGGGTCCC